AATCATATTATTAATATTAATATTAATATATATATTCACACTCTCTAATATTATTTATTGTTTATTGTTTATTTACAAGTATATGGATTTTACGATGAATGTAAACGACGATCAAACATTAAAACATGGAAGACGTTTGTAGATGTATTTAATTGCCTTCCGATTGCAGCCGTTGTAGCAAACAAAATATTTTGCGTGCATGGAGGACTATCGCCTGACCTATCGTCGATGGATGAAATACGAGGTATTAGACGGCCAACAGAAATACCGGATTACGGTTTATTGAATGACCTACTTTGGTCAGATCCTTCAGAAACAGCAATTGATTGGGAGGATAATGAACGTGGTGTCAGTTATTGCTTCGGAAAAGCAATAATCCACGATTTTCTAAATCGACATGACTTTGATTTGGTATGTCGTGCTCACATGGTTGTAGAAGATGGTTATGAATTTTTTAACGAACGGACATTGGTCACTGTATTTTCAGCTCCTAATTATTGTTATGTTTAATATGGTATAGTGTCAATTATATAATAAAAAAAAAGGGAAAAGGGAAATGAGAAATGAGAAATGAGAAATGAAAAATGAGAAATGGAAAATGTAATAAAAAATCATATATAAATCACAACCAATCAATCAATTGGCGAACTTGGATTTTAACACAATTGGTATTAATGCAGTAATGCTGATTAATATGATTGTGGTTATATTTTGAATTGTTAGAAATGTAAAGTTCTCAGCTTCTGACATTTCATGTATAGTTTCTCCCGCCTGGACATGGATAAAAGAAAGTGGAGCGACACCTACAGAAATCAGCGCATCTTAGTAATTATTTTTATAACAATAATAAATATCCTTCTTATTAATAATTACCAAGGAATGTTGCCCAATAAAATTTACCAACATCAACTCTTAAATGAGGAGATGCAATATTGATGAACCAATTTGGTAGAAATGGAGTTACTCTCAAAAATAATATATAAGAAAACAAATTATTTCTATGCTCATTTAACTATAAGAAGGATTTTGAGATAGTATATAAGTATTCAAGTAATATATTATATTATTATTATTATAATATAACAATAATAGTAATTAGTTACTTGCTGATTCCAATTAATCATACGTTCCTTCCAATATTTTTCAGTGATGTTTTTACCGAAGTAATAAGATAATAAATAACAAATTGTTGCTCCTGTTGCTGAACACTTTTTTCAATCAATAATAATATTATTATTTTATTCATAATTGATTAATTAGTGTTTAGAGAATGATCATATAAATAAATAAATAAAATTTGCTCACAAAACAAACAATCACTAAAGCCTTCCAACTTCCCCATAAGCTTCCACCTAAAACACTCAACATCACACTTCCTGGTATTGCAAAGGATTGCAAACTATATACATATATATTATATGTTGTAAATTATATATAAATTATGTTTATATTTATTGTTATATAATAATTGTCTATTACCTATCTTACTTACAATATATAAGTCGTTACATAACAAATCAATATGTCAATACTTTCACAATTGTTTAACACTTCATAGAGGTGCTTAACATCTTTTAGATCTTTTGGCAAGGTCAAACTAATCAAAATAATTAGTAATTATTATGATTATGATTATGATTATGATTATGATTATAGATTAACAATATTTCATCATCACCATCTTCTTCTTCATTCGCTCGTATTGTTACCTGTCTTTTGGTAAATATGATTCCAAAATCGAATACAATATTTTTATTGAAATTAATAATATTAAAATTAAAAGTATCGTTGAAAATAATACTGATGATTGATTTAATAATTTCATTTTGAAGAAAATATCAAATTGTTTTTTTTAAAAAATTTTGATTTACGGTATTATCATATGTAAATCATTTCTTGTACTAATATAAGTTATAATTTATTAATTTATTTATTTTTTACCTTTTATAGAAAATGTTTTATTCAAAAGAAATATTAACAAAAAAAAAATGTGGATTTGGAATAATTTGGTTTGTACATGGAGTTTAATAAATAAATAAACAATCGAGCTCCAATTTTTCTTTTCCATGTTCATTATCGTCTAAATAATTAGGTTAGCTTCCACGTTAGGATCACGTTCTCATCTTCGTAAACTTTCAAGGAAAGAAATTAATTCAGTTAATTTGGTTAAAGCTTGGTAAACATTTTATCTATTGATCTGATCACATGAAATACATTCTCTTCATACATATCTATATATTCAATATCAATATAT